TGCGGTACGTCAGCTGTGCTCGAACTCGATTCGAATTGACAAGCGAAACTTCATGATGGTCAACTGATTGCCACTTCACAAGCACTGATGATGTCACCTCGGCTGGTGATGAAACGGTGGCAAACAAATTGCCAAGCTCAGAGAACAGGAGAAATAGAATGAATAGTATACTTCAGTATGAGTTGACCTGGAAAAGATGCAGTTTGGTCCATCTGCTGTGGGTTGAGGCCCGCGTTTTCCGACTTTTATTCCACAGAGTTTTTCACAGCACTCCAGATTTGCTTGCAGTTCTGATCACCGAGTAGGATTTCAGTGTGGAGTTTGTCAAGATTTTGGATCTCATTCTTGACCAGTACTGACGTTTGTTTAATTAAACCTCGGTCACGATTTTTATATGCCCGTTCTTTGGTTCTTCTGAGGGTCTACGAAGGGGGAGGAAGAAAATCTGGCGTCACTCATGTACATAGGGGCCGTGGGGCAGCAGAGGTCAAAGCAGAAGTTCATATAGCTAGTTAGATGTTCACACTCAACCGAGACTCTTGGGTCGAAGAACTGATCAAAACTTGTCCGAACGACCATTTCTTTCAGTGATATCAAGTGAGCACAGTCTATGGAACATCTTCCGGCTAGATATGTGTCCGTGTACTATGATGTTTCTTTGAGTAGAACTCTGGCAAAACATGTATGATGTAATGATGAAAATTTACCAGAGGGGCTCATCTTCGCACAGCAAACAGGTCAGGATCGTTCAAAAGCATAAGGTCAAGCTGCGCGTTTCCTCTTGTGGGGAAATTACATGATTGTGAAGAAAGGGAGGCAAGTCTAGAACTGAACATCTGCATGGCTAAAATCACCACTAATAATAATAAAGAGAGAGTGTTCCGCGTAGTCATAAAGTTAGGGTATATATATATCAGCAAACGTTTGTACATCAGATGTTGTACTTGAGGGTGCAATGTAAATGTTTGATGCCACGATGGAACGATATTTACTGAGAAAACGTCGTTTACATTCAACCGAAATACATGAGATATATCTTTCGTTGTAGGTGAAGATAATCTTTGTAGAATTAAACCAAGACGATGGTGTAGGTTATTTGACCCCTGCTTCGGTTTCGTAGTAAACAACTTCTATCCAACCGATGCATATCAAAGAAATTCAGCTCAACCAAAGAGTTGCTGATGTCACCATAATTATCCCTAATGAGTGGTATTTTTTCATCCTTATCACTTTCGCGAAATGGCTCATTTTTCCAAATGGTGATCGTACGTTCCATGGGAAAATAGCAGGGATAGACATTCTCTGAGTTTACGTAAACTCAATCGCTAGCCTACTCAGTGTTTGCTGAAGAAACCAGTTTAACTTCAGAAGGGTTGATCATCAACTCAACAAGAACAAGAGGGGTAGTTTTTATTTGCTCTAATAAGTAAAAATGAGAAAACCTACTGGCAACACCAGATGGTGCAACTTAGCTTCGATAAAAGATTAAAAAACTGGTCACAACGACCATGATGCCGTTCAACGGGATATGCACATTTCACCTGTTCTACTAATTTGGAGTGACAATTTTCCCAGTTGCTGGTTTAGTAGCTAAAATGTCAATATTTCGGTGTCTATCTTTTCTTTAGAAAGCTTTAACCGGTGCTTATCATAAACTGTGTCATAAACACCGTCACGGCTTGATGAGCCCGAATCTCTGTGCTCTTTCCCAGGTGGAAGGAACCACCATGGGGGAAGGTTCCAACTGTTGTAAAGTATGCTCACTTCTTTTCATTGAGTTTTTCCCCAAAAGTCTTTGTGACGGTGAAAAAAAATAAATTCAGCTCGCACGCATTGGTTTACTTTAGTTCAGTTGTCAAGCTTTTGCTGTCTACGGCTCCAGATGAATGAGGAGAATGTGCAACACCGATCATGATTTCCGATTGCTCTGCAACCCATGTGTCCCAGTGTTGTTACGGGGAAAAAAATAGAAGTAACTAAACAAACAGTCACATCAACGTGAGACACAATTTTTGTTGCTCCAATCCAACTATTCAACCCCGGCATCTCGGTGGTATTTTCATTTGTCCGTTGCAACACAACTCTATACAAATTTAGCTTGATGTTAAATTTTGTTCAGAGCAGTTTGCCGATTTTTGAATGATTTCAAATGGGCCTGGCCTAAATTAGAAGCAAATTTCACAGGTTTTGTACACATTAAAAAATTACTCCATCGGAATGTTCTTGTTCTGATTCTGTCTTCCCGCGATCCTCCGATAACCAAGTCATCATATTGTGCTTCTGGAACACTTAATTGACATTGTGTCTTGCACGCACTAAAATTACATCACCTTCCAAGAAAACATTTTTCAGGTCTATTCGTGCCACAAAAAATGAATGTGACTGATATTTCCGATATTTGAAGTCTCCAATGAACTGATGTAACTATTCGTTTGTTTTGAACCACAGAGATGGACAACAGGTAAAATCTGCTGAATCACAGTTGAATCTATACGATCTAAGTAATTTCTGTTGATGAAGTAAAACGCAGGTCTAAGGATGTAAAAAATATCCTCCCCCAAAAATGAATGAAGGAAAGATCACTCAATTACGGCTTTGTTAGGATAGATGTGAGTGGTTCGGTATTGAGAACAACTGAATGGCAGGCGTGTTGGTTAGCGGAAATCACTACTTTCCGGAGCTGGTGCGATTTGTATGAAAATCATACTAACTGGTTAGAGTCCTGAGAACTTCTGAAATTTTTCACAATTTATTTTGTAAATGCTGCTTTCGACAGGTATGAGTGAATACACATATAGTTGAGGAAACTAACACTGAGCAATGTAACACAAATGCTTATATCAGTTTACTCTGTCACATGCAATAGCCTAGGTGGAACACTTCCTTCTTTCTAGCATCCTCGACAGATACTGGGTTGGCCTGACAAGTATAGAGCAATTTTGAACGGTGCTGTGGATGAATCTCGAATGCATGAAACCCTGATGTATGCTCCGCGAATGAAAATTAAGTGAGTATATTCTAGTGCTAACGTAGACACTAAATAATTTAATCAAAAGCTGCCAACGAGACAAAGGCAGATAATCGCACTGCCACTGCAGCAGTATTACTACTACAAACGGATCCACTCGTCCTGTTTCACTTCAATCCAAGCCACGTTAGAGAGCCCTCCTGCTGCTGCTATTTCCTTCTCTCTATTTATACTGCATGTTCACTCGACTGGCATCCTAGTTGAGTCGCCATTCAAACTTCCAGGGTTTTCACTGCCAAGTTTTATAACGGACATCTAGATCGCTACCGTGGGGTGTGGGCTGCCGCGGTTCATCACATAAGCAGCCAGAAGAACAAACAAAATAGTACAATATAGTAGAATTTGTCATGCTCTGCGCACCGTTGCCACTTAGAATTGAGTGTGAATCGTGTTGCAGTGAGCGTTTTGGTTCACATCTTCTGTTTTGCTCTCCCACCCTAAAGCTTGTTTGAACAATTCGATTCACAGAAAACATATCGTCCACATTTTCCCATTCAGTGCGTACTCTGGGCATGTGATTTGCTTCAATTATTAAAGTTGGTTTGACCGCCGGAATAGTGTTTATTGTCGGAGTATCATAAGCTCACAGTGCGCTTCTTCCCATCAATCTCCTGTCCGTGTAAAAAAAACGCCAGAATATCACGGCAATTACGGCTCGTACAAATAGGGTCATAGTTGAATGAAATGGTTGGGATAACAGGTCGAAGCAGCTTTCTTATCTCTATTTTTGCCTGCCTGTTCTTCGGACTTTGTCATATGATGATCATAGCTATTGGATAGGTAGAAAACTGAAAGCCGAAATAAACATTGGGCACCCAACTGTTTAGAATTCAACATACGGTATCAGGCTGTGAAACCAAAGAATTAGATTGCCATCTACACTTCACTTTTCACGAACCTGTTCGAAGTGAAAACAGCCAGACCTAGTGGAAAGTGGACAAGAAAAGAAAAAAGAACAGGTCAGAAAAGCCCGGTCTTGAGCAATATCATAACACAACTAAGGGCTTCTAGATGGTACATATGTGTAGACTGAATAATACATTGGATGTTTTTATAGATACCATAGACATTGACACCTTCCGATTGGCCGAGTTTAACGGAGAACAAAAAGCGATGTGATCAATTTTTCACAATGTTGTTTGTTAGATTGAATTGGTGTGAGTCACAATGGTAGAAACAGTGAAGTGGGCAGGCTATGACGTGGCGAAGTAGGTTAAAGAGATTGCACTCGTATCTGACTTCCGTTGGGGCCGCAACGATACATATTGTCTTTGGCTACAGACAATGTGAGATCTAGCATCCAACTGAATCCAGTGGCGTATATATACTGAAATTCCGCTTTTGTTCAGCTAAAGGTTAAGAAGTTCACAATCAGAATAGTTCACTCTAGGAACAAAGCAAAACCAAATAAAATGAAACTTTGCATAAATTAGTGTAAATTTATTAATACTATGATCAGTGGACTTCGAATTGTATGGCGTTCAAGATTTTTGAACGGTCGACGTTAAATTGATCCAATAGAAATCTAGAAACATTGCGTGAGTATTGTAAACAGTGGCAATTTTGCTTTCACTCTATTCTAACACCGGATTATTTTATTTTCTCTGTTTCATATTCAACTTCGCAATAAATTCTACTTGTTCCGCTGCTCGGCGGAATTCGTAGCCGAAACTGAGTATTCGAAACCAGTGCACTGAAGTGTGTGTGTGGGCAGAGGGATATTGGTTTAGAAAACTGAACTACATCAACACTCAGCCCTATCCTTTATGTACCAGAAGACCAAAAGATGCGTATGATGTGAGCCGAGCTCACATAAAACAATTTTGTCACATTTCTGCTCCCTTGCAACGAAGGTCAATTGAGAGAAAGGAATATAAAATTGGGAGATACGGATGTGAAAATATAGTTGCGAAAATGTAAAAGAATTAACGAGTTTTACCCAAAGCAAAGCATTGATTTGACAGTCAATAAATCATCGATGGACAAAATCATTTGAAGCTCTAATAGTGAACCGCTTGATTGGTGTAAGAGGAAAACTTTTCACACTGGACTGAAAGTATTCAAACGTGTCTTGAGAATTCAAATCAGCATAGTCGATGCCCAATGTGATCGTATGAGTGGACAATTCATCTGCTGCATTTACTCCTTTAGACCCAACTGTTACTTCCTCGGGTCTATCACTCTCCTCCACCTCCTCCTCCTCGTTCTCGTCCTCTTCCTCATCCTTCATGTGTTTCTCGTCGTGCTCAACCACCGGTCCACCCAAGGAGTCGCGAAAAATGAGCTGGGCAATATTTGGCCGACCAGTGCGCAGTAAGAATTCCTGTTGGAGCAGTACTATTCTTCCGATGATCGTTTTTTCACAAAGTTGTCCCGTTAGACTAACTACTGCACCTGCGTTACGTATTCCACGCGCCAAAAAGGGCACAGAACAAATGGTAAGCAATTTACCGCCAGCTGCAAACTCGTACCCGTTTCGGATCAGTTCATTAGAACGGATGACTTGCTGAAACCCGCAATGTTCGCAGAAATCAATCACTTCCGGTTCTCCGAAAAAATATCCTTTGCCGGCTGGATTTATGTACCAACCACGTGAATCGTACACGGGTTCGGACCAGACCAGTTGTTCAAGATATGGATTACTTGATATGGTCGTTGGCCTCTCAATAGCCTCTGTCAGAAACTCCCGAAACTTAGCCTGACTGCGCAGTGATAGCAGAGGGTTATCTTTGATTAGTCCACTATGTACACACAGTATGGCATCTTCGATTATGGCAGCTACCGGAAGGCAGTTGAAAGCATTCATAATTGTTTTCCATAATGTCTGTGTGAAACGTTTGCGGCACTCATGAGAAAATCCGTAGTAATAAGAGATATAATGACATTCATGATTTCCCCGAAGCAAAAGTACGTTTTCCGGATAGCGAAGTTTGTAAGCGAAAAGCAAAGAAACCAACTCCAATGATCGTGAGCCACGATTGACATAGTTCCCCAAAAAAAGATATCTTTGTTTCGACGGGTGACCCAAAGCCTCAAATATCTGAACAAGTTTCCCGTGTTGACCATACAGATCACCAACAATGTAAATGGGTCGGTTCAGCTTTATGTCTAAGCAAACAGGATCCTTCATCAGCAATGACGTCGTATAATGGGCTAGAAAAGCTACTTCTTCTTGTTTTAAATGTGCCATATTGCCCCTTATGACTTGACGATCAGTGAGACGACTGATAATTGAATCGATTTTCTCCTCACTAAAGTCTAAATCAGAGGCGACCAAAATTGCCTCACGCAGTTTAAGAGCATTCAGGGTTCTACGCTTGATTTTTTCTGGTCGAGGAGCAGTGATAAATTCCATATTGGGTGAACCGATCGGCACTCGGTCGACTTAACTGCGAAAAACGACTCTCTGACTATAACCTACATTGATCAAGTTAATTGAAAGTCATGCACTGATCAATAATGGCACAAGGTCATTTGGCCAAAGTAATCAGCGAGTCCGGACGGAATTCTGAGCTTATACATAGATCTGTATATGAGCGAAATTTTGACTGCGAAAGGATAGTGAACCTAAATGCCTGATGGACGCTGTCAAATCCCGGGGTAACTACATTTTAAAAAATAGCGTGCAAGGCTGGAAACTACCGCTTCTACAGTATGTTCTCCTTGTGACAACAACAATTTTAGATGTTTTACGTTGATACTTAGTTTATGTAAAAGTAAAGCAATTGCTATCGACTAGGAGTTTATTGACAACTACCAATTGCCATTTTCGACCTAATGAAGACGTACTGGATCCATGTCAACGGTTGAAGGCAGATTGTTTTGTTTAACGTGGTGGGAATCAGGATTTTGAAGCACATCAAACATGGAATATTTGGAATATATAAATATATAGGTTAAATACTGCCCTGAGGCCCAAATGTGATAACTTTGATCGCCGGCTGTTACCGAGCCTTCTAAGAGAGTGCTTCGAACCTTTATTTGGCTGATGGATGCCTAAACGCTTCAAGTCTAGTGCCTTTCTAGTTTTCCAGTTCACTCTGTACACCAAGATGAAATTCACGATAGAGACAACTAAATAAGTCTATTTTCAAGTTGAGGTCCTGAGGACTGTGATCAATTATGTGGAGATACGGAAGAACATGTGAGTGAACAGAAAGCGCTTACTTTCTTTTTGTTAGTACTTGTTACAAA